GTAGATGCTGCCGAGATCCATTGTTTCTCCCTAACGTTATGGTTTACCTTACTAGCAGATATCACTGCTGTTTCCACAGCTTTTCGGATGTCATTCCACGCTGCCTCGGGGTGGACACAACTTACATGGCTGCCTAACTGTTTTCCTAGTTGTTCCTGAAATATATTCTTAGCTTGCCTATCATTAAGTAGAACCCTTAGAGGCTTCCCTGCAGTGTCTTTCCTACGACCAGTAAGTCGCAGACAGATACGTGCTCGCACTAGAGCATGATCTGAATCCAAACATGTGCCCCAGAATGAGCGACAGTCTTCTATCGAGCCCCTCCATCGGTGGCTGATAGCGATGTGATCTAATTGGGTCCAACGTTGGGACGAATTCGGGGGTAGCCATGTCAAAAGATGTTTTTCCTTATGCTTAAAGTTAGTATTTGCAAGAAATAGGCGGTTATCTGAGCATAGCTGCAACAGACGGTCGCCATTATCTGTTCTTTCCGCCATGACACCATAAGATCCACCCAGGTGTCTTTCCCTTTCACTTAGTTTACCTACTTGAGCATTAAAGTCATCTGCTACTATTACTACATCAGAACGCCTAGCTTCTCGGAGAAGGTCAGAAAGTTCCCTGTAAAACTCATCTTTTATATCGTCTGAGCTGCAGTCAGTGGGAGAGTAGGCAGAGACGACGAAGAGGCAACGACGAGTTTCCCTATCTTTCCGGGTCCTTACTGATCCGTTTAGTCGGACAGCGCATAGACGACTGTCTACTGGTATCCAGTCTAAAAGAGCTAGTTCTGCCCTAGGACTTAATGCTATACCTACTCCAGCGAGGCCACGGGAAGCAGCATCAGGGCTTCCAGATACACGAAGCGTGTATCGAGATGAAACTTTATTTTGATTAGGTGCGGTCAAATGAATGACACTACTCGGATCTTGTATGCGCGTTTCGGAGACGCAGCACACATCGATGGTGTAAGATTCTAGAGTCCTAGCTAAGGAAGCCTGTTGTCCTATTTGGCACAATGTTCGGACATTAAAAGTTCCTATATGTAGTTTAGAGCGTGGTTTCAGGAGACCAGGAATAACGTTCTGTGTACTCGAATCGTTTGCCCTAGCGGTGCGAGGTGATAAAAGGACGTGGGAAGGGTTAGTCGTGGAGATAACAGAGTTATTAGGTGTAGGAAGGATTTGAAAGCGACCAACTTGGTCTTGTGTGCAGTTAAGGGTATGAGGGCTAGTATCACTTCCCGGCTGCCCACACCGTGGAAGGGTATTTCTTGAGGGACCTGAAAAAGAAGTTGGATTAGTGTTGGTCTTAACGACCTGGGAGCGTGACCGCAGAGCCCAAGGGACATCTGCTTGAGGCCGGTCACGCACGGCCTTTTTGTGGGGGATTTTTGATGTGTTAGCTCCGTTCTTCAAAAGTCCTTACCGCCGGAGACGGAAATCCGTGGGATAAGGTGAGGTGTGCATTTTTAGGGTCGACCTTTTCTAACCCCACCCCTCCTTGTGGGAAGGCAGCATCGCTGTCATGCTGGTTGTCTGAAGGAAACACCTTACTGCTTTCACACCTCTGTACAGTCAGCAGTACGACTTCGCCTTCGGACCTTGGGATTGCTGCTTTTAATCTCACCGCTCTTCAACCGACCTGTCTGGCATGGTAGGACCTTGAGGAACGATTGTTCCAGCCAGCATAGCTCGATTGGATCATCACGATAGGCAAGCCCGACCACCACGTCAAGGTAGCAGCAACGGTCAGTGTACAGCATGTATGTAGATGTTGTTGAAGAAGTAATATGCACCTGATCCCTGATCAAAGACGTAACGAAACTATACCTTACTAAATGGTATTATTGTAATAAAAAATTTTGTAAGTTTATACTTTGCATAGATTTGTTGCATTTCGGGCTTATATACACTGGAATAATTTAATAATATAAGTAAAACATTGATTTATCCCCTACAAAAAAAACATCCTAGACCGCAAAATACGGATGATGAACTCATTATTATAGTATAAGTTTGTATTTTAGAGGATATAAATTATAAAATTATTCATAGGTACACAGGTTGTTATGAAAGGATCAAATATTTGTGATTATTCGTACCTTAGAAAATACTAAAAGCCTGACTAATAAATTAGATAGTATATAATGACCAGCTTCTTCAAAATTCAGAAAACGTGAAGCTACCTCACCACTTAGTGACAAATGGTGAACCCCAAGTTTTTAGATCGCAACCTCGAATCTTGTAGTTTGGAGGTATCCCATGATAAATATTTCCAAACATCGTCTCTAGTGGTGGTTCTGAGTCGCTCATCGCCTTCTCTACTTCTTTATCTACTTCAATTCGGACCCTTTTTTCGGTCTCCTTAACCTCATCCTGTGTTCTGTTCTGTAAACAAGACTGACACAGATGCTGCTTGGAAAGACATACGAACAGCTGTGGAAACAGCAGTTACATCTATTAGTCATTTAAACCATAGGGCTCCAAAAAACCAATGGATTTCTTCTAAGTCTATTTCACTGATGGATTCGCGTAAACTCATCCCATCAGGCTCTGAACATGACGAAGAGCATAAAGAAATTAGATCTAGGTTAACTAAAAGTCTAAGGAACGATCGTGAGCAGTGGTGGGCAACGAAAGCAAAAGAGATGGAAAAGGCAGCGGCTGTAGGCAACACCAGGCAACTATTCAGACTAATAAAAGAAACCGGAATTAAGAAGTCAAGTGTGAGACAATCTCCGAAAAAGACGGAACCCTTATCTGCTCTCAACCCAAACGTTTAGAACGATGGGCGGAACACTTTAAGGAGCAGTTTAGCTGGCCTTCAGCTACTGCACAACTACCCACTATTCCTAGAAAACCTGAATGGAACATTGAAGTAGGCCCCCCGACCCTACTTGAAGTTCAAAAGGCTATAGGTAATCTGAAACGAGGAAGAGCAGCTGGTCCAGATGGATTGACTCCAGAGGTCTTTAAATATGGTGGTCCGATTTTAGCGATTAGGTTGACTAATATTCTGGCTAAAATCTGGGAGACGGATGTAATCCCATCCGACTGGTCACAATCACTGATTGTCCCAATATATAAAAAGGGGTCAAAATCATCCTGCGATAACCATAGAGGGATTAGTCTGACCAACATAGCATCTAAAATACTAGCCTCAATAATTATCGGGCGCCTAACTAAGACTCGTGAACTGCAAACACGAGAAAATCAGGCTGGCTTCAGACCTGGTCGTGGCTGTATCGACCACATATTCACCATTCGTCAAGTTTTAGAGCACAGAGACGCTTATCGGCGTCCGACAATGATAGTTTTTCTTGACTTGAAAGCAGCATTTGACTCTGTAGACCGAAAGGTTCTGTGGCAGTGTCTGTCATTGAAAGGTGTACCTGAGAAGTACATAAACCTTGTGAAGGCTCTTTACTCGAACACTACCAGTCGAGTGAGAGCTTATGGCGAACTGTCATATGATTTTACAACTTCAAGTGGTGTCCGTCAAGGCTGTCCACTATCCCCATTTTTGTTTAACTTCATTATAGACCTGTTGCTGGAAATAACACTCTCTTCGACTGAATTTACAGGAATTGATCTCCTACCAGGGGGACCACTAAGCGACTTAGAATACGCAGATGACATAGTCCTGTTTGGTGAAGACGCTGGCAAAATGCAGAGTCTTCTGTTGGAACTCAGTAATAATGCCAGGATGTTTGGGATGCGATTCTCCCCATCCAAATGTAAATTGTTACTCCAGGACTGGCCTGCATCAACACCTGAACTAAGGATAGGGAGTGAAGTAGTCGAACGCGTTGACAACTTCACTTATCTTGGAAGTCTGATCAGCCCTAATGGGTTGGTGTCTGACGAAATCTCAGCACGGATTCGAAAAGCTCGTTTGGCTTTTGCCAAACGTCACCTATGGCGAAGACGAGATATCCGTCTATCAATTAAAGGACGAGTATACTGCGCATCAGTTCGCTCTGTTCTACTTTACGGTTGTGAAACATGGCCATTAAGAGTAGAAGATACTCGTAGGTTACTAGTATTTGACCTTAGAAATATTGCTCGCATCTGCTGGGATCACCGGGTAAGTAATAGTGAGGTTAGACGCAGGGTATTAGGGAACGATGGTAAATCAGTTGATAAGGTGATTAATCTTCATCGACTGAGATGGTTGGGCCATGTGTTACGTATGCCTGAACACCGATTACCACGACGCGCTATGATGACTAGTGTAGGGGATTGTTGGAAGAGAGTTAGGGGCGGCCAAACCAAAACATGGCATCAGTGTTTGAAGTCACTAACTTCTAGTCTGAGCCATGTTGGCAGATGTAGACTACCTGGTTGGGGTCCGCGTGACTATCATAACCAATGGTTGGAGACTCTAGGTGACATGGCTGAGAATCGATCACAATGGCGTAGGTGTATACACTCTTTATCTTCCTTTAAACCTTGAGACTAAAATTGCTTCATATCTCTCCTCCTTCCTGTACTATATCATTATATACAACCTATAATTTATATACTACTACCACCACTAAATTGACTACTTCTATGAATCCGGTGTTCATCTTGTTGTGCTAACGAGGTATGGCAACTTGGACCGATGCATAAATGTGCCTGGTCCTACGTTGTAGCTGATTGACTGACTGACTGACTGACTGACTGACTGACTGACTGACTCTCAGCAAGACGTTTTGTTGAGGGTCAACAATATCCTGAGACCGTGATTTAAGAGAGCGTCCTTCTAAGATTGATTGATCTAGAGAAATGGGTGGGCAATAGCCCATGAAAAGCCAACACAAGCTTTTTTGATTTTTACCCACAATTTGAGATTTCATCACAACCCACCTCCCGCTTCGGTGTGATAAGACTCATTTCGAATAACCCTATTTAAGTTTAATGGTGATTCAATGCCAGAAAGAATATATTAAGATTAACCAGACGTTTTACATCAACTTAACGTAAAGGTAACGAACGTTAAACATATCTACTTACAACTACAGGGTGATGTGGCGTATTGTTTGGATGGATGATACATCGACTTCAAACTTCAAACTTCATATGGCTAAATTAACATGTAGTTCGTTCCTTGAGATATGTGTTTAGGCAGTAAAATAAAATTCTTGATTATAGGGAAGTATAATCCTTGGTATATTGCATCTGGAAACCAGTGGATGAGGCCAATTTTGTCAATAATTGCAACGTGTGACCATAAGTAATAGCATCCAATGCCTACATAGTCAAATTAATCGTCAATTCTTGTTTCAAGACGTTCACAGGAATGCGCAGCTACTATAAATTTTTATAGAGGGTTTCATAGTGTACTGGTTTGAATCAAGAAAAGGTTCGTATGAACTTTTATATAGGCTTGTTAGTGTTGTATTCGGAATAAATGACATCTTATGTGCAGCTTATTACCGAGGCGAATTAGTGATTTGTTATTATGAGGAAAGTTATAATGATGCAGAGTATCATGGTTATGTCTCTTTCGATCCTCCTGTACTGCACTGATAGCATATCTAGAGCATTCAGGCCAACAGAGTAGGGTTAGTTTCTCGGTTACTGCATCATTCTGATTTCTGTCCTTTGAAGAAGTATCGAGAGGCCAGTATATTTCGTAAGGCAAGAGAACATGTCTCAAGGGCATCTGGCCGACAAGTCATAATCTAAAAAACTTTAAATAATTTCGACTTTAAGATACCTATTATTCAGGAAAGTAATAACAGGTGTGAGAAAGCAGTTTTGGTTGAATAATGCCAGTGTAAAGAAACACCAAAAGTACAATAGAATGCGATGGTCAGAGTGGTGAGTAGAGTGGTATGGAAACCGCCCAGAGAGCAAGAGTCGGATAGAGAGCTACCTTTTTTATTATAAGGGTTCTACATTTACTAGTACTGTGAATGAGAAAGTCTTGAAAATTCAGCAATGTAACCTGTAAAAGTCTGTAGGGTCCGTGAAATGTCACTAGGCCCTAGGCAAATCATCCAGCAGTCGGGTCACTGATGGTCGAGCAGTTCACCTCACCTCACTTGTCGTTGAGAACCAGTCAGACAGTGCAGAGCGGATTCCAACAGCTTTAATCTACCACTTAGTCAATCTGAGATTCACATAATAAAACGAACGCTTATATACATAGAATCCAGTTTCGTTCACTGAACGCAATGGTCTGCTCTATCAAATATTTTGGAGAAAGTGGACAAGTGACGTTTTGTCACCAAGTCCGTAAAAGCAATGCTTAGTTTGAAGTCGGTATTTGAGAACAGTAAAGGATGTTAAGATTACTCAACGGTGATTCTTGGTAAAAAATCCATCCCCTAAATCTCCATGTTAGGATGAAGAAACGAACTTTTCGGAGTAGTCGGGGGTCCGTGTGGTCTTCAAGTTAGACTTACCGGACAGAAGCCACAGTTATTGCCGACACTACACCAAAATATATTTCGGTGTCTTGTCATGGGAAGTAAGATTTCGTGAACTCCTAGTCAGGCGAATACATAAGTCACGAGCGCATCACAAATGTCTCATTTATCGCTTCTGAAATCCCTGATTTTTTCAGGTGAAAGTTCATCGCAATTGATGTCTTTATTAAGTAGGGTTCACAAATTGTTATACGAGGATGTTTATCGTATAATAGTACCCTAGGTTCAGAGATTTTCGATCGTCACCACTCTACATTAATCCTTAGATAATGAATGTGAAAGAGACAACACTCGAGGACTATCTGCTTAGGATTAGTCATCTTGAGAGTAATACTTTGTGTTATTAAACAAGCTTTTACACTGACCTCCAAGGATTTCGACAGAATCAGGTTTAGTTAAACTGTGTGAATTGTCACAGTCACATTTGGTTTAAGGATGTTACAAGTTTTCGGAGTTTGCCAACGCCTTTACCTGTAATACCTTTATAATCAAAGTATGCCACTAAGTCGAATCAGAAGTCAGAAATGAAGGAGTCCGAAGATTTATTCTGAAGGCTATCGGTATGTTAAGGCACATTTGGTCTAAACTGGCCAACAGTTGGAAGCGGTGCATAGCACGGTGTACTCACTCGTTGTCTGGTGCGGATACGTGAACAAGCACCTACAGCCAGGTGAGTCCATTAAAACCAATGCGGTCAGCATCGAGTGTTGAAGACTTAAAGAGCTGGTGAGTTTGGGGATTTATTTACCGCCACAGGTTCATCAGGAGTGGTTTGATAGGAATCTCAGCATATCCTTAGAGTGAATGTCCAAGTTCAACAATCTCCACATTTTCTAGCAAAACCGCTCACCTATTTTTAATGACCAAAGTCGGAAGGTAAGTAACATGGTGGTTAGAGGTGGTCAACAGGAAACCCTGGGCCCGGGTTTCGTGCTACTTGGCACTCGTCAGCAAGGTGTACCTGTAATCTTGAGGGAACTGATGCTCCCTGGCGGATTCGATCCCGCGTCACTCAGCTTCACAGTCAGAGACGTTACCACTGAGCTATTCGGGCAGCGACCGATCTCCTGTAGAACTGAGATCTAATCACAATTGATTGATCACTGGGTGGTGACCAATCTCATGCGTGTCAGGTCCTTAGTGCTGATCGAATGCTATCGATCAAGTTGCAATGTGGCCACCAGTCTAGGTGGCTCGACACTGCGGGCACTATATATATTAGGGTAACATGGTGGTTAGAGGTGGTCGACAGGAAACCATGGACCGCAGTGTCGAGCCACCTAGACTGGTGGCCACATTGCAACTTGATCGATAGCATTCGATCAGCACTAAGGACCTGACACGCATGAGATTGATCACCACCCAGTGATCAATCAATTGTGATCGGAAGGTAAGTTTCCGAACTTTTGTGGGGATCTATGACTGGTAAGGTTCAAAATCGTCGATTTTCAGAAAAATGTCCCTAATATTTGTAAGATCCAAACCTAGTTCCAACTAGGTTGGGATTGCTGAATAACTGGCAAGTAAAAGTGAAGAAACTCGCAGACCCCATTTATTCAACCAACACTTGATCCCAAAATATTCAATCGAACACACCAAAAAGTAAGTGTTATTCTATCCTTTCCGGATAGATCTAGTAAGATTCCGTTTGAGCGGCTGTTTTATAACACAAAGTGTTTCAAATTCTGGGAAAGTGCTCCAATTTACAACCAAATTGCACGATCCCAGTCAAAATCAACTGCACAATCAAAGAGCAAACAGTCAATATGGCAGCCGCCAGAATAACAACAATTAAAACAAATTAAATACAGTTCAGTAAGAAACATAAAAACTCAATGAAAACGATAGGAAAACCGAGAAAATTAAACGTTACGGTCTCAATTGGCATCAAAAAAGTTAACAATATTTACAAATAAAGAAACCATAAAGAAGAAATTGCAAATGTATACACGGAGGGATTTTCACCTTCAAAATGGATCTTACGATGGTGATGAATGCTGATCGCAGAATATTATGAACCGAATTGAAAGAGACGTGATTATCGGAGGTTAACTCAGATTCCAGAGTGTCAAGCTCTATCTGAGGGGTCTGACTAAACAAAGTCAGTCAGTCGTATGAATTACCATATCACAACAGGTAAAAACGTGATGATCACTTCTCCTAGTTTACTTGGTTATTATCTATCGTGACACGATTTGTCCTGTCCCAATAATCATTGATTGCTTCTCTAACGATTCGAATGAGGAACACTATCTCCCAAGCAACATACCACAATTTTCGTAGTATTTATTTTTCAACCCTTGAAATTGTTATTATTGATCTTATAATCATAGAAGTACAAGCACCAATGATAGCAACGACGACGATAAAGGTCAGTTCTACTCGAAGCTGCAATCAATCATAGCGAAGGGCTCAAGGAACGACCTCACAATCCTGATGGGAGATCTAAATGCTAAAGTCGGAGTGGACGACATGGACTAGGAGAGAGAAATGAAAATGGGGAGAGATTTGCAAATCTATGTGCATTCAACAAATTGGTTATAGGCGGCACAATATCTCCACACAAACGCATACACAAAGCCACATGAATCTCGCCGGACCACACCACAGATAGATCAACAAAAATTTCCGAAGGATGATGGAAGATGTGAGAACCAGGAGAGGAGTTGACATAACCTCAGATCACCCCTGATTGTGGCTAATATGAGAGTGAAGCTACAGAAACACTGGACAAATGAACGAGCAGCATTACAAATGTTCAATACAACCGTCCTTCGAGATACTAACAAGCCCAACGAATTCAAGATGACTCTCAACAATAGGTTCCAAGCTTTACAGGATCTACTGAAAAAGGAAGAAACTACTATGGAGGATAACTGCAAAAAGGATCCAAGAAGGATTAACTTAAACGCGTCGGAAGGTATCAATCATACAGTGACATATCGATTATAAACTAATATTAAATAATTGGAAGAAAGAGGAATATTAATAATTAAAGTAATTGTTCGAAAATCAAATTGTTGCTATGTTGCATAACATATAAAAGGAGAGGAAAGAACTAACAGAGTATCTTGAAGAATCATTGGTAATATCGTAGTTATGTAAGGTTTTATACAGCGAACTACCTCGCATTCACCACTATTATACGTCTCTGGTGTGATCATCTGTACACGGAAGTGATCTCTGCTACTAAGCACTATTCCTTTTCCTTTGTGATTTATAACCCTACTACTTGTAATACAGATGAAACCTGAAATGGTTAAGGAACAGTCGATATCTACGGTGGACCACGTCTATGTGACAACAATTATATCGTGACATAACTCATCCACCACCACACCTAACTCAGTTGTTTATGTCTAAGATTGTGAATGTTCGCATAGCACACATATATGGTGTTGTGGGAATCATTCCTTCTATCCATACAAGTCTTGAAGGCATTAGTTCCCAAGACCTAACCACGTGAAGACCCTGAAACCCAAGGTTTGTTTCGTTGTTTAGCTTTCGAGATTCGTCAACAAAACCAGGTTGTTTCTTTTTCCTGATCTGTACAGTAAATTGTGATACTTTGAAATTTGCCAAAAACAGTAATTATAACCTTCGGAATCAGGATTTCGTACCAAAGACATCGAGAACATCAAGCAAATAAAAGTCAACTTTCCTTATCACGCGCTAAGAAAGCCTCTGGATTAGGTCACCAGAAAATATCCAGTCAGGTTAGACGCCAACTCAATTTCATTCTTCCCCAAGCTGATTTATGGACCAATCTGGAGTTCACCATATGCTCGATGGTGCTTACCTAAACCAGGATCGACTAAACGGTAGTCCACCCAGCATCTAACCAATTTCGAAC